TGATTAAAAATTTAAATTAAAATAAAATTTATTTTTTGTAAAAAATTAATAAAAGAATATAATTATTTTATTTTTTTATTAATTAATTTTAATAGAATTTCACTATTTTTAATTATGTATTTTTTTATATAGAGTTTATATTTCAATATTATGAATAAATTATATATTAAATAATTTTAAGTATATTTATTTATAAAACCGTAAAATTAAAAACATAAAATTTCTTTGAAAAAGTAAATATTTTTCGTATGTTTTAACTATTTTTTTAATATAATAATTAATATGTAAAAATAAGTATGTTTATTATTATTATTATTAATTTTTTGATATTTATGATTATTAGATAAAAATTATTAGATGAACAACATGGAAAAGAAAATATTCATGCCTAAAAAAAGGTATTCGTGTATTTATTGATAATAAAGTTTTTAGTATACATTATATTTTATCAAAGGTTTGTTCATAATAAACACATTTTTGAAAATACTAGCTTTTACTTATAGTATAATGCATTATATACATATTTTGTAACTTTTATTGAAGATTTTAATTCAATATCAGCATCATAAACATTCATTGCCCAATATGGTATCAAAGTACTATTTCATATCTTAATAACCACATCAGGTCATCTATATAAATATAATTATCAATTAAAAGATTAGTATAAATCATAATTCAATTTCTTACCACTGAACTATTGTTTCCAGGTAACCGACATCTCTCCCCCTTGAGTACTATCACGCTGTGGACTCTATAAAAATATTAAAAAAAAACAAATTTTTATAATATTAATATTGTTTATTTTTCATTTTATCAAATTCTAAAAATAATATATATAATTACTTTAACTTGAATCTGTTGTTTTAACATTGCAGCCCTTAAGATTAACATGCGTGTGCGTCTTTGATATTCTTTTCCTACACTCATAGATTTCTCGAAAGTTGTGCTACGTTGATCGACATCCTTGGCATACAATATCTAAACATATACAATAAATTAAATTAAAAATTATTTTTTTATAAATATATTAAATGATGATAATGATAACTTTACTTTATTATGTGAATCTATACGAGCTTGTATTTGGCCATCAAGAATTAATTGCATAAGCTCATCTTCCAATTCTGATACAGTCCTATTAAAAGCAGTTGCCATACGTCTCATATCTGCACTTAAGTATGGACTAAAATATTGTATCAATGCTCTATTCCGAATTTGTGTATATAATACATTAACATGTGGTGCTATGTACATATCTAGAAGTATGTTATCCTTTATCTCGTCCAACAATTTTAAGCAAGATGCATATTTTGATTCATAAAATTTAAAAATTATATCTCTTAACTGTGGTTCTAATTCTAGAAATAACTTAAAGGAACTGCTGAAGATAACCTGTTTTTGTAATTCATGTCTGTCAAATGTAGCTAAAGCACAAAGTCCTCCATATAAGGCAACATTCCCAGGGGATAATAATTCAGGACAATCACAATGATCCAATGATGCCTGCAAAAAGTGTCTTGCAGCCATTTTATATTTTCTAGTAGCTAGTTCCGCTAGACCAGCTGCAACTTTTAATTTTGTAACTATAGATTGATTGTTGTCTTTGCCATGGACATCAGAAAAGTCTGGTGTACTTTCTGCCTTTGTTACATAACTTAATACATGAGCCCAATTTTGTAAATAAACAGAAACTTTAATAACATTTAAGCACATGTTAACAATATGCTTCCCACTAGTACAATAATCCCTTGCTCTGGAATAACACTTTAAGGCATGAACAAGATCCCCACAATCTAAATAATGATCTCCTAAATCATCATGACCTCTTCTAATACTTTCTTTAATTGAATTACTTCTATAATTTTTAAGATCAGTATCAAATTTTTCTAGTTTCAAAGCAGCCTTTTTAGAACGAAATTCAACCCAAGCTTGATCTAAGGTTAACATGTCTTGAGATGTTGATTGTGCTGCAACATCTGGTAATCCAGGTGTACCTACAGCTTGAACTAATTTTTTATGTAGTATGACATACAAGGAAACATTATATGTTGTCATCACATAAGATATAGCCATTTTTAATGCTTCTATCCTTAACATTGGACAGTGATCAGCTATATATATAAGTCTATATAGTTTAGCAAGACCAGTATAACTATTAGCATAAACTTCTAAATCCTGAAAAAAATCAAAATAAAATATTTTGACATATACTTACATTATAAAATCAGAATTATACAAAATTATTAACAACTATCAAAAATAAAAAATTCAATAGAAAATTAGATATACCAATGTTGGGTTTTCCACAATATATGGTTCTTCTTCTGCATTATCATTATCTTCTGCAGGAGCATCAACTTGCATAGGCTCCACAACATTTTGCTATATATAAAAAATATAAATAAAAAATACTTTAAAATATAATTTGAATAAAAAGATTTGTAAATTGCAATATTCTAAGTTAAGAAAATTAAAAATATAAAGGTTAAAAGATTTAAGAAAGATATTGATTAAAGATTGGATCAACATAATAATTACAATATAAGAAAAAAATTCACAAAAACGAACATTTGAATTTGTCATGATTTTAATGTGCATGAAATTTTCTATTTGTAGCAATTATTGCAAGTTATTCTAAAAAATTACCTGAACATCGTGAACTTGCAACGGCATGACAATGTTTTCTTTTCTGTTACGGTCAAGAATTTATGAAAGAAAACAAAACTTTCCGAGAATAGTGTATAATAAAGGACTGAAGTATATACATACATACAGGGTAGGTAACATGCAGCAACTAACACTTTTCCACTGTCATAATTCTAATCAGATGAATTTTCATTTATGCGAAATTAATCTGAAATATTGATATATATTATTATCTTAAAGAATTAATAAATATATTATTTTATATATATATATATATATATACTTTAATAAATTTTATTAAATCAACTTAGATATTTTGCTTCGAAAGTATGAAATATAATAAAATATACATATTTACTTTAAATATGAACCATAGTGTTTAATTTGGCAACGCCGTTTTTTTTTAAGTATGTGAATTTTAATGTAAAATGTGTATTTTACTTATTTTTTAGTGTAATGTATAGAGCAATTATGATAAATGTTTTTCTAGAAAATTTATTTAAATATAATATAAATAATAATTTAAATAAATAAATAATATAGTAAATAAATAATATAATAACAGGAATTAAAATAA